CCCCCCGATATGTCTCTGGATCTGCCACTGCAACTGTATTATTTTAAATTAGGATTTTATAAATGTGCTTGTGATCTCTTAATGCACTATTCTATACAATAATATTGATACATCATTGCATATGTATTTTGCAGAGAATGGCAGACTACCATTTATGTAAGTAAATACATCTCGACACCCAATAGTCATTAATTAATTAAATGTGTCGTCTCTTATTCAATTCTTATCTACGTTAGGCATACAATGTTGCCAAAATATGAGTTCTTTAGAGCTGTAAACGCAATTCTATCAGCGTTTTTTTAAGCTTCTCCCCGCCTTGATTATCATCAAACAACCGTTAGTGTCAAACAGTTTGGTAGCTAGAATATTGAAAGATATTTAAAACAAATCAAGTTTTTATATTTAAACACAAAACCGTATATATTGTTAAGCCATTTCTCAATTTACACCAACCATGAATGTCGTCGCACAACGTTCGTCAAAAGTCCGCACAAATGTGCAGAAGCAACAATCGCCCAGATTTTTATCGTTCGCCCATAGGTCACAGATCGTGCACACATCGCGCGCACTCCGCGCTCCGTGACATTTGGGCGATCCCAAAACTGTAGTATCTGTAAAGTAAAGAAATATACTGTTTTGGTTTGTTATCTGTTTTCAGCCAAGGACAGCACATCAAGCAGAGGAAATTCCAAACTGTACAATTTTCAGAACAAGGTACAGTTACCTAAGTGAAGAATGCGCAATATTCTTTTCCACTCCTTCGCTACATAACTCTAATTCAGCTGAATGGGAATGCAATGTAAATGCATGTATATACTGCATAAGGTTGTATTGCAAAGTTTTTTTTTCATTCTATGAAGAGAAGTATGGATTTGTATACATTTTATCTTTCCATTTCTTTTACAGCTGTGGCGCCTAATGAAGAGGACCAACGGTAATGTTGCTTGCACAATTTCCTAATTTGAACAAAGCTGTTTGTGTTATATTTATTAGACCATTGTCTTGGTCATATTAAATACTGATTGATTTTCTTAAAACAAACAAATGACTACATCCCAGTATTACAATATATATATATATATATAATTAAAATAAAACACGAAGACTAGTATAAACGGCTAGCGCTTTCGCCAATATTGGGGCTCTTCAGGCGAATTAAATTTATTTATGACGTCATAAATGGAGTACACATATTTAAGACATCAAACATAATGACGTCATAAACAAATTACACATAATGCGGACGTCTAGATATTGCGACGTCGTAAAAAGATTACAATAATGTACCTGCATTAAATGCGTCAATGCATTATATGAAAAAGAAACGGAACATATTTTAATAACATCTGGTAGTAAAAATGTATTTCAAAGCACAATACTTAGTTCATCCGAACATATTAAACATACGGAATTTGTAAATTTAAAATGTATAACAGGTGCTCGAAATGTCCCACGTTCAAGCCCGGTTTTAGAATTTTAATAAACATGTTCTCTTGTAACTCTCTTGCAATAGTATCTGATGTGCTCATTTGGTAAATTGATAAAACTAAAAACTGATAATTTGAACACTGATGAAAACGTTTGTTAACTAATAAATTTCGTAAACTATTAGTTTTGGTTTGTTGACGATGGACTGCCATTCTTTGACGTAGTTTATTTCCAGTTTGACCTATGTAAAAATCAGAGCATCTCTTACAAATTACAGCATATATTACATTTTTTGATTTACAATTCATATTACATCTCATTTCAAATGTTTTGCCATCTTAAAAACAAACGAGATGTGGAACATGTAGTATGATTGTTGAATGTAACTCGTTTGTTTTTACAAACCCTAGCCGATTATACTAGTCTTCGTGTTTTGTTTTATTTATATTTTTACCGTCACATGGATATTTACAACTAGTTATCGCTTTATATATATATATGTACACAGATCTTCATATGAACAACTCGATATGAATGCAATCGCCAAGCCGTCCGTATACTCTGAAATCGAAAATCAAGGTAAAGCACACACTAACTTCATATCAGACTGATATATGTTCATGTCCTTTCAATATTATACTTATGCAATTTTGTATTTACTTTTATAGCTATTAGTGTTAATCATTAATATTAATAAGAGCGTAGCTCTCTGGCGCTTTCGAAGCTCTTTAATGGTAACACATGCGTGCGTAAACAAAGTTGCTTCCCCTTGCTACACGTTGCCTTTATTTTTTTCGTCCGGAAGTAGACGTCCAGTGGGGAAACAGGAAGTGTATCCTTAAAGCAAAGACAATTGTGTTTCAACCCATACATGAATCTTCATATTTAATACTTGTTCATTTAGATAAAAAAATATATACATTCTGAGTAAAAAAAGTCTATCACATAAAATGTGATACTAACAAGAATGAAACTTCGTTCAGAGATTATAATACTATGAGGTCACAAGCACGTCACAGTCCATCGGCCTTCATCGGTTATTTCCGGAATGATGAAAAATAACCGGACAATTCTGGAACTGATGTCGTTGCATTTATCTCTTTGTCGATGCTTCAAGCCTTTTTTTATTTCAGTTTTTTCCACTGTCACAAAAAAGTAAAAATGCAGATACTTTCTGAAGATCTTTTTTTGTCATCAACTCGGTTCTGTTGATTTTCTGCCGGGAGATATCTTCAGAAAGAGATAAGCTTTTGATTTCCATTTGTTGAGAAAATGAACAAAATAACTAACATTTTTGAAAGTCTGGATATAGTCTGTACATTATTTATGCATCACCAAGGAAAATGCATTTATGACGAACTTAACAATAATTTTCCAAACAACCGACCCAAGTGCCCTTTTTCAGCAACTTATAACTTTTTCACAACGCGTGAAGATTTATAACTAGTTACAGACAGAAGCTGTAATTGTATTTGGTATCATGACCTGTCAAACCTTACCTCGGTGAGAGTTACATTTGAAATTCAATCCGGTGTTTCAGGATGGAACAGTTATTGATACTACATATCGATATAAAGACAATTTCAGTTACATCAAAGTACATGTATCACAATGTTTTCTTTTTTTTAATTTCATTTTTTAACTAACATCTCTATACATTTACTTAGACTAATCGTCAAATATGTAATATGCACCTTTATAGCAATTACCAAACACTTTTCCCCCAACTTATCTCAATAATTCTTTCTGTGCCATTACGGAAGAAAATGGCGTCATTGATGCAAAAATGATATTGTGAATACATTTATACCAATCATCAATGATTTAAAAAATATCTACATACAGGAGACCGGGGCAAGTTCTTAGCAGTTTAGTTGGCTGGGCATTCAACGACGAAAAAATAGCGAGGAAAACTCTAATGTAAAATGACTAAACAGGAGGGTAGAAAGAAAATCATGATCTTGCTTCTAGTTATGCGAACTTTTTGAAACAAAATTGCTATTTTTTACAGTAAAACGTGTAACACACTGACAGCTTCAAATGATAATACATAAAAGCCAAACCAATCGCTCACTACCATATTGCTGTACGGTAAGAATTTATTGAAATATCTATTTGGGCCCGGACAGGTTCGACCAATAATACCGTTGCAAGGTCGGCCCATGTATTTAACACATAAAGAGTCGTAAAATTGGCGGTACAATCTGACGATGCATGCTTTATGACGTCATAATTAAGCTGATTACAACGGGGGTCGAACCTATCCGAATGCCTGTCCGAACTTACCCCATGACGGGGCTCGTTCGGCCGTCCGATCTTCCGAGAGCAAAAGTTAAATATGTTCAAAAACGGACGTGCTATGAGAATTCCCCCTTCGGTGCTAGTTACAGTGTGAAGGACAGCAGTTTTATCAATAATTCCCCAACACACCGTAAAGACGAGTAATTAACTGATTGTATAAGCAAATTAATGTTACATTGGATAATGTAAATGTCTATGGTTCCTTGTAGGTCGTCAGAAAGATCCAATCAATGAAAAGTGAGTTTCTCTATATTCATGTCTTGTACAATTTCGCTTTATATAAATCTGTCATAATTCTGAAAAAATGGGTAAACGCTTTTGACACCGAATCGATACAATTTCAAGTAGATGTATAACATCGTTTATAACCTATAGTTTTTTTTACTTAACAGAGAGTACGAGTCTTTGGAGTGTCGGTCTAATCCAAACGTCTATGATGAGCTCAGTAGTACGCCAGCTGGTATGTGATTATACACATTTTGTTCAAATCAATTCCAGTCGATTTATATTGCATAATAAACAATTCATTTGAATCATTATTTTATCACAGCAGGCTAAATTTTATCGAAATCATGTTGAAAGCTAATTCACGTCTGCCTGGAAAGTTCGTGACGACAACTGTATTTGTAAACGATTTGGATTTCACTTAACAACCCTATGGATATATGCGATCATGAGTTCCAGCAAGATCATTTGCATTATTATGTAGATTTTCGCTGCAGAATAATAACTTATCGGGTTTATATACGAGCTATTTGATTTAGGTTCTACATTTAACATTGAGGACATATATATATGGGGACATGTGTTATATGGAAATCGCGTTCATCCCACCAAAATATTTGGTAGAAACTTCCACAATAACTTAATATGTCGTCTCTGTTTACAGGTAGTAAAGGGATATACATCAATACAGATACAGCCATTGCTGGGAGTTCTGCTGGTTTCGAAAAGTAAGCTCATCTCAAAGAAACGTGATCACAATAAACTAACGACCCGAGGAAGCTGCAACTAGTACTTTAGTGATTTCAAATGACGATTTATAATAATCACACAAGTAACACTCAAATATACTTCATGTATATGTAAATGTACGTAAACATAACACAACTGTTTCGATCTTAACTCAGATAGGTTATCCGGAATATGTTTGGAATCATATTCGTATGAATATGTCCGTCAAAACATGAAGTCCTGGATACAGATATGTGTAACAGTATGCACATGTTGAATACAATAAACGGTTGCAATAAAACACTGCATTATATGATACAGAGTGGATGGTGTTCATCGGACATTAGATAATACAGAGGTCACAAAAGTGAAGTCGAAAATCATAATTTAATTGATATATTCTAAATTTATTGGTTCCTTGTATTATGCCGAAATTATAATTTTAATATTATACAATTCTAACATTATATAATTCTAACGTTATATATAATGTGATAGAACATTTGGTATTTGGTTGTCGTGGATGAACTAAAAACTCTCATTCCTGGCATTTTCAAATAAAGGACAAAACCTGCAACTTAATCCTTATAAAGACAAAAACAAAAACAAACAGTGACACTATGTCTAGTCCGATATGCCAAAGAGGTGGAAAGTTGAAACCAGACAAAAAACTCGTAATATATGTTTATGTTAAACAAGTATCGTAACTTAAGATAGTGCACATTGATCTTTATATAATCAGTAATTAATGATAAAGACTTTTGTTTAACTTAGGTCCGATATCAATTTGCTGTATCGCATACAAGATGCTCTCTTCACATTCCCATTAGCTACTCTATAAAATAATGCTGACTGTGTACGAGATACTTTTTTTGTGGAGACACCTCCCTTGCCTTTTTTTAATTTCCGTATAAGTGTTTCAAGCAATTGTTCGCTAGTGCAGAACAATTATTTCTTCTTTGAGGTTCAAATTGTATTGTATTCCCACAGCATCTTTTGGGTGCCCCGGGTTCATCCCTCTTACATAATTATTATAACCTTGTGCAGGAGGCCTCTTTCCTTTCATTCACTCTTTCTTTTTTTATTTCTTCTCTCAAACTCCAAATCATTCACTCTTTCATTCTCATTCATTACAATAACAATAATATTAAATTTGATCGAAATGATATATCAAATTACACAAATCATTTCTTCTTTTTATATTTTAATATTGAAAGTACGTTCATATTTATAAATTTATTTATATGCCAAACATCCTGCTTTATTGATTTGGGATAGCCATATTTTCCTAATATTTAGAACAGATAAACCGAATTTATGTACTAAGAATGATATTATTTTTCATGTGTAATTTGGATTAACTCAAGAAAGAATGTCTGGGGAAATAAAAAATGTCAAAATACGAATGTGCAAACCAATCTAAACCTATATTCATGGACACAAAAACATAAACAGTGTACACTAATGTGCAAGTTAACTACATATTATATATTCATAAATAAAGTATACACATTCTAGATGACAAAAATATTCTGGAGTCACACATAATTGTACACATATACACTCACATACATTAACATACATGAACACACTACTACATATTACATAAGTACATCCCACACACCCATAGACAAACACCATTGCATGACTGACAGCATATATACATTGCAAACATTATTTATATCAAGACATTAATACGAGTGTACATCCATCATTTCTAATACAATACATATTTATATATAGAATAAAAACATAAATTGTTCAGATCGTCCGCTAGGCCTTTCTGCCTTCTAGGGCTTCTTCAGTCGGATTCATATATATACCATGCCATTTTGGTATACACATACACATAAAATAAACATACTTATCAACATAACACACATGTACACTTGTCATTTACTAAAATACCAAATATCTTTCTTCAAGTTTTTATTAATTATTTAAGGGTTGTTGTAAGTTTACCCGGATATGCAATTGTTATAATTAGTTTTTTTCTTTAAATGTTAAGGGGAGACCACTTTTGGTTTAATTTGATCATTGTATTGTTCATTGTAGACATCATTTTTTTCAATTTGTTTTTAGTCGGTAATATTTGATGAAGAATATTAAATTTTAGATTTTGAAGTTGTGTGTCAATTGTCACCAGAAAGTTTGTTAAATACATTTTCTTCCAAACTATATCATCACTTATATTTGTATTTGACTTTCTGTTTAATTTTTCCTGCCTTTCAACTGGATAATGTTTGTAGTTAGCAACAATTGCTTTATAAACATATCTAAGATCCTTAGTTTGAAGAAGTCTTCTTAAAAAAACATTTTTTTTATTGATTTTTTATCAATGGTTGTTGTCGTATAATGTTTAAATTTGCTCTTGGAATGTAGGTTATTAATGCCAAATATTGTAAAAAACATTTAGTCTTAAGGTATTCCATTTATAATGAATCGGCCAACATCGGCCAACATCGGGAAACTTTGTAATCCGGGAATTCCCCCTAATCGTGGCGTCATTTCGAGATGAGTTACCGCCCGTTTGGGAAACCCCAATGTAAAAAAAATGGCGACTGTTCGTTGCGCGTCCGTTTTCAGAAAATCTCGTCAAAATTACGCACTGTTAAGGAATTTGAAGTGTTTGTAGAACGCTCTTGGTGGAAAGATGGGTGGTCGTTTCGTCTTAAATCCCGTTCGCCCTAGGTCGTTCCGCACTAAGTTGTTTCGCTTGAACATGTTTTTAGGGTAAACTTTTCAGTCCTGTTTAGTTGTGTATGGATAATGTAGACTAATTTGTAGTTTTTCTATGTCTCCCTTACCTTATTTTTGCAATAACGCTCGTTGTATTTGTACGTGGTTGACCAAATCGACAAAACACACGCGGGCTACAATATCATTATTTTTCGAAATTTACATAGAGATTGATGTATTCATTTTTTTCTCTTTATTAGATGATGTATCCAGACTATAATGGTGCTTTGAGCATAATACTTTCGATAAGTTGATGTCAAGACAACTGTGACACTCCAACTGTCGAAAATGTACAAATTTGGTAAAACCTTGGGGTGGGAGTATCGTAACAATACATCTTTTTTCTTCAAAATTAAGACGGTAACATTTTGATTTATTTAGTTTTTTGCATTGTATGTATTGTAACGAGATTTCACAAGAAAATAAATGTGGTTTTTCACCTATATCTGATGTTGTACAATTTCTTTTTTAACATTTACCATGCAAAATGGAGTACAAAAGGAATATGAATTAATGCAATTTTAGTTTTTGTGTTTCTGTAATTTTGAGTTATTTGAAATCTACATGCTTGGCCAGTTTGTCGGTATATACAAATGGTTTGCAAAAAGAACTGGACAAATATGCCATAAAAGATCATAATTATTTGGGAAATGCTTCACACGCGTATATTGGTTCTTTTTTCACTTCCAACAAATTATGTATTATACATGGTCCTTAACTGCATTCACCCTATTCTTTTCATATTCAATAAATTGTTTGAAACTAGGAACTGGTATGTGATTCGAAAGATCATCACCAAGAAAACTTGATACTTCATTAGTATCATCTTTTTATTCTTTCTATGCTAAATTAACATCTTTCCGGAAACCCTTAGTTATATTTTTTCGATATTTCCTCCAGTTTTGTCTTTTTCGGATTTCACAACCGTTCCTTTCCAAATTTACTAAAAATCGATTTTGCTTAACTTTGACAGTGTGAATGTCACTTAGTCAGTGAATGTATTTGAACACTGACATTGTTTATCTTCGATGTTTGAGTTAGGTCAATTCGACCCAAAATACTCGTAATGTTCATAATCTGTCTGTAAGAAGAACATTGACATTACTTACCCAACGTATTTAATATAAGATCTTTGTTGTGTTAAACGTTACATAGCACGTACATTGTAGTGTTTGCCACTAGCACGGTGGACAGCCAGGTGAAGGGACTAAACTACAGTTTGTCCGGTAAACTAGTATGTAAAGCACTTCATATACTATAATGTATGGATACGTAGGAATTGATCTGAATTGACAAATATCTTGCCAAGTAATAACTCTCCCCGAGGCACGTACATCTTCATCAAACCATGTCGCTATCTAGTAACCATTTGAAGCGACCTTGATAAAACTTTGTTTACGATAGCGCAATACAGTTATACCTTATTGAACTTATATGGAAAAAAAAGATGAAATATATATGAAAAAAATGCAACATGTACAATCAAAAACGGTGTGTGCTTGTATTCTATGGTATTTCAAAGAACAGGAAAAGCAAGTAATCTTCTATATATATGAGGCTCTAGATCAGGTTCTCAGCTTACCATTAGTATTTGATTTGTGCGTTTGCGATACCGATGATAGTTGTTTTTACAATGATTGGAAATTTTACGTAAATCGCCCAACAGAACAAGCAGTTTCCAGATCGTTTCATGTCACATGAATTGATGACGTCATGGACAATGTCGAACATGACGTCAACATTATTTAAAAGCCGATCGGCCCAGATCGGCGCAGTCTAAGTGTTAATACGGACATTGTTTGTGGATCAAGTTAAACGCGGTTATTATAGTGTTTGCTCTTGATAGCCATCAGTTTCTAGAGAATGCCGTAAATTCATCATCGTCGTACTTGAATTATTTATGTTATGAATACCATAATACATACGGACACACATTCAAGAACATCCGGGGACAATAATACTTTCTGACGGCGGTATTTAATAACAATTTGGCTACGCATTTTGTATTGTCCGTGATGAGTGAATTGCACTGATAACGAGACATCTTGATTGTCGAGATGTATGATCTTTTGTTTGTATTCTTGCCTTTTGCAGGTAATAAGGATGTTGTATTGCTATATGATAACATGAAATAGAAAAAGCAGTAAGTACTTTATGATGTTAAAACGAAAAGAAATGATGTTAGTATACAAACTTTATGTGATTTGCTCTCAACAACAACCTATCTGAGTGTTTAGTTCATGCAAGCGTTTTGTTTTTATATATTACCTCATGTTTAAAAGGCATGTCAGAAAATCCTTACAATCAAATATTAATATACCGTAAACGTTTGAAATGCCATAAAATATGTTCAGTAATTTTGAAATAATACGATTAAACAAACGGTACACATATACCAGTGTCTCTGAAAATATTCAATTCCATTATTATTATTGTCTAAACACATAAAAATAACTTTCATTACATACCTACAGTGTTATGCCGTTTTATATTATTTTCATTAACCCTTAGACTGCCACAATGGCGATTTTGGCCGATCTGACTTTTACTTTGATTGCCGCAAGGTCGATCTGGGCCGATCGGCTTTTAACGAATTTTGACGACACGCTCGGCATTGTCAATTACGTCATCAATTCATGTGACGATCTGGCAACTATTTGTTCTGCGAAGCGATT